TGGGACATTTAACTTATTAACATTTAGCAGCTCATAGGATCAAGCCAAAACAGCATAAGTTACTTTATTTGACGTCACTCGTCCCCGTAATCACATTCATGCGTCGCCATTCTCTAGGTAGTTTAGTCAGTCGATCCGATACTGCTTTGGCTTGTGAGTTCAGTGCTCGCCTGTAAAATTCCTTGTCATGAAGGCGTGTCATAACTTTCTCATTGTATTCGTGATTCATCACCACAGTCAATTTTCCTCTATAAGCTCAGTTTCTTCAAGGAAACTCCACTGCCTCAGTGCGACCAGTCCCTCAATTCCCCAAAAACCTACGAGTTCGGACGACTAAATTGGAAGAAATCACAGATTCTCTCGTTGTGACCTCATCGCGTGCATATATCCCACCGAATATTGTACACGAACTTTTGCACAAGTGACTTGAAGAGGCAAATTTCGATTTCCTAACGAATCGGGAACCTGAGGAGGCAAAACAACTCATTAGCAACAGGTAACCATCTTGGTGATAACGCGCAAACCACAAGCAATCGTTACCACAACAGAGGAGAATGCGCTTAAGACACTGAGGGTTAACAGCTGTATCGTGGTTCCCCCAGCAGACAAAGAGCATTCCACAATTGTGCTGGATAAGACCGACTACATTGAGAAGGATAAGGTGTTTTCAGCACCCCCAATTCCTAAAGCGTCTCGCGGGAGTGCAACTCACCGAAGACGAGGCCATGGCGTCATTCGACGTCATCTCTCCCTTTACTTCGATCTCACAAGACCTGACAGTCAACACGGTCAGTGGACTGCTTCAGAGCCAGCACGACGAGATGGTAAAACTAAGACATCTCGTCCAACACCTAAAATTCTGCCTGAAGACGTACGATGGGGTCACCACTCCCGGTCTTCATCGCAGAGGCAGTTCCTCAAAATTAGAGACTCTTGTGTTAGGAAATTCTAAGCCAAACTTTTGGGCTAAATATGTTGAAAATATCTTCGTCCACATTGGGTGGACAGTCATCCGGGAATCCCACGCTCACATAAACTCTGTGTTTCCTGACATCCAGTTCACGATGGAGGCTAAAAAAACAACAAACTGCCTTTCCTAGACGTTCTCGAGCATCGAAATCCCAATGGTAACCTCAAACCATGGCGTATAGGAAGGCCGCCAATACGCGCCAAATCCTAAGTTACCATAGCAGGCACCGGTCATGCTATAAACGCAGTTGTGTACGAACGCTGTACAAACAGACAGAAACACATTTCAACGAGCTGCACGACTGGAAGTCTGAATAACAATACCTCCGACGCCTCTTCATGGCCAATAATAACCCCCGAAATTTTATTGAACGCGGCAGGCAGTCTCGACCGAACAGGAGTTCGGCGACCAGACAACCAAAATTACGG